CATTTTTCAATAGCATGAAATAATACGTAATACTTAGGAATAATGCTAACAAAAAATGTATGACCTTTAGTAGGAAAATGTAAAAAATAGAAAGATATACCTTATTCATCACTGAAATCAATATTATCAATACGTCAGTTTCTCTCCAATAGTTCCATACATCAATGTAATACTACTATAAATCCCAACAAATTTTTATTTTAATTTTTTTTTGCAGAAGGAGAATTTGACTAAAGCTTATTCTAGCATTTTACAGAAAAGCAAAGGACCAAGAATAGATGAAGACAACTTTGAAATAAAACAATGAAATGGTACGATTTATTAACTACAGTTGTACCAAGACTTATAATAAACCTAAAATAATTTAAGATATTGTGATATTGGCAAAAGATAGACAAATAGGCTAATTAAACCACTCATGAAAGCCATAAACCAATCCAAGCCCATCTGGAAACTTGATTTATGACAAAAGGAGGTACACTTGATTTATGAAAAGTGGGAAAAGAAAGTTTGTTTAAACAAGTGGTGCCAGGACAATTGGATTTCCAAATAATAATTAAAAATAAACTTGACTTTACCATAAACAAAAATAATTTCCAGTTGAATTGAGTATATACAAGTGAAAAGCAAAATTAAAGACTTAAGGGGTTAATATAGGAGAATATTTTCATGACCTTGAGGTAAGCAAAGATTATAAAAATAGGAACAAAAAGTGCTAACCATAAATGAAAAGATGAATACATTTGTCTATATTAAAATTAAGAACATATACATGTTCATATGTAAGAGGTGAAAAAGCAAGCTAAAGGATGGAAGAAGGTATTTGCAACCCATATAATCTATAAAAAATTCTATACAGATTTTATAAGAACTACAAATTTTTAAGGAAAAAACAGACCACTCAATAGAAAAATGGGGAAGACACTTGGGGGAAAAAAAAAAGACCAATAAACATGCGAGAAAGTGTTTATGCCAGCTAATAATCAGGGAAATGCAAACTCACAAAAACACTGCATTACCATCACTGCATACCAAGAATTGATGAGAATGTAAAGTAATGCAAACTCTTACATTGCTGGTGATAGTGAAAACTGGTACCTTTTATAAAAAGTTCTGCATTACATACTAAAGTCTACTTTTTCACAACTATTCTACTTCTAGTAAATTCTCAGAAATGTGTGCACCTGTGCACCAAAGACCCTTATTAGAAAAATCATAGTAGCATTTACACATAATAGCTAAAAATTGGAAACAACCCAAATATCCATGGAAGAATGGATACATTTCCCCCCAATATATACAGCATTGAAAATGAACAAAGCAAACCTATACATAGCACCATGAGTCTCAAACATAAAGTTGGGCAAGGGATGCCAAATACAAAGGAATACATACTTTGTTCATTTATTTTAAAAACAAAAACAGGCAAAACAGGGCCGACCCCATGGCGCACTCGGGAGAGTGCAGTGCTGGGAGTGCAGCGGCACTTCCTCCACGGGTTCGGATCCTATATAGGGATGGCCGATGTGCTCACTGGCTGAGCGCAGTGCGGACGACACCAAGCCAAGGGTTGCGATTCCCTTACCGGTTGCAAAAAACAAACAAACAAACAAACAGGCAAAACAAAGTTATGGCATTTAAGGAATATATATTTGGGACACCAAGCCAAGGGTTGCGATTCCCTTACCGGTTGCAAAAAACAAACAAACAAACAAACAAACAAACAGGCAAAACAAAGTTATGGCATTTAAGGAATATATATTTGGGTGGTAAACAGGGAAGTAATTACCATGAAGGTCAGAATAGTGGTTAACTTATGGGGAGGGAGGGTGCTCTGGGATGCTGGGAATGTTCAGTTACTGGGTGGTAGTTATACCAGTAATCATTTTATAATACTCATCAAATGGGACATTTATGTTTTATGCACTTTTCTGAATGTGTGTTATATTTTACAATTAAAAAGCTTAAAAAACTGGGCTGGTTAGCTCAGTTGGTTAGAGCATTGCCTTGTAACACCAAGGTCAAGGGTTCAGTTCCCCATACCAGCCAGCCACCAAAAAAAAGAAAAAGTAAAAATAAAAAACCAACAGCGTAAATATATGATACCATTTATGGACTTAGGCTAAGACAGTTTGATATATCTATCTCAGAACAGGTATTTTCTTGCGAGTGAGGCTGATGTTCACAGTACATAAATTACAAATAATATTTCATTCGTGTACACTGTTTCATTGGCTCCGTACTCTGAGCCAGACATGATAGAAACTATTAGACTTTTTTCACAGCTGAGAAAACTGAGGTCCATAGAGGTTAAGTGGCTTATCCAAATCCACATTTGTGGCGTGTGGCAGAGGTGGATCTTGAAACCAGGGTCCTGCCTGCCCCCTCCCGCTACACCCTCAAGTCAAAGTTAAAACCACAGGACAATGCACATCCACTAGGATGGCTATTATCAAAAAATGCAAACTAAAAATGTGGAAAAGTTGGAACCCTCATGCATTGCTGGTAAGAATGTAAAATGGTGTGGCAGCTGTGGAAAACAAGCAGTTTGTCAAAAAGTTAAATATAGAATTAACATATGTTTCAGCAATTCCACTCTTAGGTATATACCCAAATAATTGAAAACAAGGATTCAGATACTTGTATACCAGTATTCAAGGCAGCATTATTAACAAATGCCAAAAGATGGAAACAAACCAAGTGTACATCAACAGGTGAATGGATAAACAAAACATGGCATACGTATGTAATGAAATATTATTCCACCATAAATCAAAATGAAATTCTGACACATGCCACAATACGGATGAACCTTGAAAATCAATTGTGCGAAATTGTAATAGTATGGTTGCTAGGAGCACTGATGCTGGAGGGGGCCTGTATAGATTTGAATCCTGGCTCTTCCACTTACGACTATGTGACTGTAGGCAAGGCATTTGACCCCTATATGCTTCACGAAGTTTATTCATCTGTAAAATAGGGCTAACAATAATATCTACCACATAGAATTGTTATGAAACTAAATGAAGTTAGTGGTGGTCCTGGACTTTGTGCTTTTATTTTTTCATGTGCGAAATGCAGATCTTTAACTCAAAAGTTTATGTGAATGTTACTGAAATGTTAATAGTAACTATTGCTTGGAAATTCTTTGACAGAAAGGTGGAAGAAGTTATTGTTTACTGTGTAATTATCAGTGCAATTAGAATGCATTTTCAATGGAAGGTAAAGTAACTGTCAACTGATACAGAATTGTGGGTTTTGATTAAATACCTTATTTTCTTTTGCACCTTTGCCCTAGATGGGAAACGTAGCCTTTTCACAGCAGAAGATATCCAATTAATCATCATGACTCCACCAGCTCTTGACATAATAATTAATCCATATAAATCACCAAAGTGATATTAAGAAAATAATTTATATAATCTGTGATGTGAGAAATCAATTGTTTCATTATTCATCACCCATTATGCAATTTTGACTTAAATTGGTTTGTTGTATATTATTTTACTGGTCTATTCACTTAATGATTTGAGCAATTATTTATAGTTTGTGATGTTAGGTAATAGATTTAGAGAATATTATTTGATAATTCATGATGAAATGATGTTTTTGGATATTATGGAAAACTGCTATTTTAATCTGAATGCAGTATGTAGTTTGATTATAATGAAATAATTTTTTTCTACAAAATTCATGTAACACAACTTTAAATGTAATTTTCCATTGACACAGAGGTGTCATAGATTTCAACATTATCTAACATAGAATTGGTAGGTAATAGTGCCTTTGGCCCTCAATTTTTTCATATATCTATGGAAGTACGATACTGTCACTAGATGATTCTAATGTCATATGAAAAAATAAAATACAGGATTTGATGCTCTCCCAATGTTCATTTTTCCCAGACCACTGCTAATTACAAATCTCCTTCTATTGCTACTTCTGCTAATGGAAATTCCTTATAGATATCTTTGTCCTGACTTTATAACATGTCCTCATCATTACTAGGATTTAAACTTTGAATAGTGTTGTTTATTTTCATTTGTTTATGTAGATTTCCTTAATCATTTATCTCTAGACATATAGACTAGACTGGCCTAATGCTAATCAAGGTTTTTCTTAGAAAAACAGATTATACAGGTATACAATCTCTTATTTGCAATTCCTAATTTCCAAAACTTTGAAAACTTTAAAAAAAAAAAAAAAGGATAACCATTTGTTGGCAAATCTGACCTGAACTGATACAAAGTTACTTATAGTCTTTTTCTATCTGATTTATTGTTAAAATTCATATATTTTACTAAAATATTAATGGTTTATTTACAGAATGTTGTCCCAAGACCTTGATGGAGGTGTTATGTAGTATATGCACTATATTTTCTTACTAAAATCTGTAAAGATTGCGTATTTTGAAATACATTTACATGTGATGTGTAATAATGATTGTTTTTGAAGATCTGTAATCATAAGCACTGTATGGTGTAAGAATATAAAATTTATAATCTAGTTATGAATGATAATATTTAATTTTTTCTTTTAGATTATCTATAGTCATATATCAACAGTATATTATTAAATTATAATCAGTGGTTCTAACATCCTTGTAACAAATAATTATTGTTAACGTGGCTAGTCAAAATCTCATATTACATGCTTTTAAGAAACGTTTGACTGGCTTCACACATTACTTGACTGATGATAAATTCTAAATTAACATCAGCCACGTAAACAGTTTCATAGCATTTGAGTATAATGGCTCTTTAGAGGATGTCTTGGGATGCTAATATCATATGTTGTACCTGTATTCAACTCTTTTGGTAAAGCTCTATGACTCTCTCCCCTTTGTCCCCCCAATCTGGGGAGGAAATCTTTTTATATAAATTACATTGTTATTATAATAACATTTCTAATGTAGGATATGTAGGTTACTAACCACATAACCCTTTAGTAAGATGTTAATTTGCTTGTAAAAAATCTAATTTTTTGACTATCATTTTTAGGTATTTACTACCAGGAAGCACCCAGTTCTTCATGAGAACACCATCCTACAACTTGAAATACAGTTCACCTGGAATGACTCGCTCCAATGTTTTGTTTACATCCCAATATGGCCATTTATGAAACAGAAGGGAAGATTGCCATGGGTTATGCATAATAGCAATTCATTTTTTTTCCTCAAGTTGAACATGCAAAGAAAAGTGACCATTAAGTGCTGTTTTATGTATATGAGACATACATATGTGTGAAAATATATACACACATGCACTCAAATAACATATATTTATTATAATACATGAAAGAAGAATTAGCAGAAAACTGAACATAAGACTTAACCTTTCTGGAAATGTAATAAACCACGTTAAAATTGTTTACACAAATATGTGAATGTCTAGAATTTGCCAGGTTTATAATTAATTTCTTCCTACTAGAAATGTTATTTTTGCTGCAGAGTATATAAAACAGAAGTGATCTTGAAGATCCCATTACAGTGTTAAATTATTTTCTAAGTAACATGCCTTTTGACTTGAAAAAGCGTTAATAGTATAATACCTTATTAATTCTCTTATATGTAGTATTCATTTACAATGAAACAAAAAAGATTTAGAAGCCTGGTATTGCTTGATGATAGAATTAAGTATAAAACGGGTTTATCATTACTATAGCACACTGTAAAAAGTACTAGAAAAATCTCAACCTGATTCTCCAACATTTTCATTCTATGTGGAAATTTAGCTACTTGTAATAATACATTATCAGTAAGGGTCTGGTAAGATAATATTATGATCTAAAATGGAAGACAATCCAGTGTGTTAAAAAAAATGTAAACTAGATTTTATTTTTACTTTTCATAGGAAGTCTCATAAAGGAACAGAAAATGAAGGTAGTGACAAAATCTGTATGGTTTTTGTGTCTCATACCATTCATTTTTATTTAAAAGCATATTTTTGCTGGGTTTAACATACAGTTAAATAGAATTTCTTCTGTTCTGCAGAAGTAGAAGAACTGACATTTTAAACTCATTTTGGTGTTATAGGATAATGTGTCACACTTATTTTATGTCTCTCAATGTTGAGACCAACTAATATTGCTAAGTCTAATATGGTAGTTTCTCATTGCACTATAGAAAATAAATGATTGTGAATAGAAAATTCCAGTTATCACATATTACTGGTCATTGATGTACCCAAGAGGTTTTTTAAAAAATCAAAATAGAGTATGAAGTTTTCTTCCTGTCCAAAGTTATTACGCGTAAATTTCATAGCAATTTGCTTCCTTTTCTTGCTTAGTTTCAAAAATAATAAGTACGCTTTGAGTTTTCCATAAAAATATAAACAGCACTATCATTGACATTGAAATCCTCAGAAAATACGATATTCTACCTTTTAGAAATATATTTAAATTTCTTCCTCCAATAGTTTTATTTTCTCACAGATGCTAATTATTTGCAAAATTCATGAATGTTTAACCTTTTACTATCCTAAAAGCTATTTCTAGTAAATGAAGAGATGGCCCCAAAGCAAAAGGAGAACTGAGAGGAACAAATTGGCCTGATTTAATTCACAAGCTGGATAACTGGCATCCCACATTTGTAAGTTAGATATATTTTGCTTTTAAAGCCATCTTCTGAGGCTGTGTTAAGCTGAAATAATTCATTTCTTCCCTAAATTATTACTAGCTATTTGATTCTTAATGCCTACCTAACATTCACATTCCAGTAGATACTTTTCCTTGCTGGATACATCCCAAAGAATTTGCCATTGTCTTTGTGGAACAAGAGAATAAGGATGTCAGGATGAAGGAAATTACAATGTAGTATTTATGACTCCATTTTGTGAATTCTTAAATATATTATACATTTCTTATAATAAATAATGCAAAAATTGGGATATTACAAAATCACAAGAAATGATCAACAAGTAAGTCTTTTCATGGAGTACTTTTAGTCATTTTTATTTTAAATTCATGATCTGGCCATGAAGGAGACACAATTTTAAGTGTCTGGTATATGATATTAACCCAGTTTGTTGGTAACTCAGCTGCACTGACTTAAATTACAAATGGTTACTTAATTTGCTAGAATGTATGCTTTGGAAATTCTGTCCTTAGTTGTATAAGAGTAAAATTTTTATTTCAAACAAAAAATAAGAATGTTCAACATTGGGAGGAAATGTTGGAAAATAACACACACACACACACACACACACACACACACACACACACACACACAATTTGATAACTTAGAGTCAGTTTAAATGTATGAAACTACCCAACTAATTGACAAATTTCATTTCTCTCGCTACTTAAGTGTGGCCTTATTTTGAGCACTAGAATTTTATTGCCTACATTTGCCTATTTATACTGACCTAATTTGATATGATGAAAGCTATGAATAGAAGCCATGTAATCATTATTTATATATATTACCTGGTATGCTCTGGACTATGGCTGTTGTAGTGCTACTCCCTAATGAACAACTAAGGAGAGAAGACACAGTGATAAACCATGGAATTCTCAAAAGGCCATAGAACTGTTTTAGAGGTATAAAATATTCCTTAGTTTTTATTATAAATTTTTTTTATCCCTAGGATTAAAACATAACAGCATAAGTGATAGTATAGGTCTGACTCTCTCTTTCTCTTCTAGAAGAGAAAATAGCTTTACCTAAAACACTCTAGAAGCTACTCAGGAGTTCTTACCAGGGGTTTTGGTTTACGTACAATGAAAACATATTTTCATTCTGTTATAGAAAAACCTGTCCTTATTCATTTGCTAAATCTAAGATGGGGATGTTTTCCACAACAGTATAAGATTGGAATGATTTCTAGAATTGTCTAAGGAACAACCTTTTTATTTTAAATCATTACCTACAAACATAGTCTGAGAATTAATTCAGCAGTGTAAATTAGCTACCATTTATGTAATCCATTGAAGGAACTATTGTGATCCATATTTTGATTCATTTTACTAGCAACAAATTTTATTTTACTAGCATTTCATTTACCTTGAGTATTTAAAAATGAAGTTGTAACAGGTTCAAATATGGAAATGGCAAAAGTAATCTGTGCCTAGAACACAGTTGAATTTCCCTGGTTATCTATAAGATGCAAAGACCTATACAAATTTTACCAAGTGTCCAAATACACAAAAGTGTCTATTAATTCCTCCTCCCTAAGACAAAAACCAAACCACACTCGAGCAAACCAAAAAACTCAGTCTTCTTTTCATCTAATGTTAATACTCAATTAGATAATAGTGTCTTCTAGACAACAAGAAAAGGATTTCATTTTAATTCTCTTTTAATTTGGAAAGAATATGAGTATGGAATTTTGTTATTGAACCTGAAATTTTAGATGTTTTAACATAAATTAACCCAAATACTTTCTTCTTCAGCATGTCAAATTCATTCTATTTAAAAATTCTTCTAAAATCTAAACATACACATTACTCATCTTTTTCACAAGTACCAAAAAGTTGATAGTTGCATAAATGCCATTATTTGATATTCTATAAAGTACTCATTCATTCTTAAATGTATATTCTTTAAAAAATAATAGCAAATACCTCAAGAGGGACAGAAAATTCTCTCCTTTTCTGTTCTGAAATGCTAATTTACATTTTGAGTCTTAGTTTACTTGGTCCTAAAATTAAACAATAAAAAGTGTAATTATATAATTTAGTTCCTGCGACCTGATGATTTTTTGAAAATTTGCTTTTCTCTTTAAATTGAGAAATTTAAGTTTTCAAGGGCCATATTAATTATCTAAATATTTTAGGCTAATGATGACTTATAAATAAATTAAAAATTTAGAAATATGTTCATGATGAAAATTTTAATCCATACGCTGCTTTCTTTCTTTACTACTACTTCTCAATCTCTTCCCCTTCCTTCTCCCTTCCCCCTCCTCCTTCATCTCCTTCTTTTTTTTTTTAAACTCTAAGTTCCCTTTTAAGTTTTGACCTTTGCATGGACAAAGCAAGAAAAGAGAAATCCTGCCTTTTAAACATTGGTTTGCCTTGCATTTTTATGGTGGTGTGTTTTTGCCTCAGCGACAATAAAACTTAGATATATCGTTATTGGATCAAGCTCAGCTTGTCTGCTGAGATTTTTTAGAATCAGGTTGAAGTCTCTATGCCTATAAAACCATTAATTGTCTGGATCTATATAAAGCAAGATACAAGGCTACAATTAATAGTCTTGCAACCCAAAATTGGTATATTAAAACTTAATGCACACTTTGAGATTGCTGCCCTTTTTTCCTGTTTTTTTTTTTTTTTCCCCTTGTCATACATGGGTATATGGCATATTGAAGGAAAATTACTCAAGGTAACTCATTCTGCATTAGCTGGGCTGTATTATCTAAGAAGAGCTATAAAAGCTTTCTTTTTATCCCCACTACTAACTTGAAAACTATCAGTAAAGATATCATTCAATAGACTAATATTTCCTAAAATAGTAAGAAGGCTTACCTTACAAAAGTAATCAGATAATGCTAATATTTCTCTTTTAAAGGCTAACAACAATTCTTGTTCTGAGCTGTTCGGTTCATATAATAACTACTGTACATGCTACAACATCTGAATATTAACAGATTTGCTGAAGATTCTGGGTTTGAAGATAAGCTTGAAAGCAATACATTTGCAAACATGATTTATGACTCAAATTATCCCCATGTGATTTACTACTTGTATATGAATGCAAATGTTGTCACAGAAAATATGCTTGAAATGTCAACACAATGTGCAATTAGCATTGCATTGTCATGCTCCAGCATGTGATATCTGTATGGTGAAGTTATTTCAATTACTCAGATGTGTTACTATAATAAAAAAAGTTTAACATAAAGCTACACTATGTTATCAAATGCTTATTTCTGTTTTACACATACACACACACACACAGTTTATAGTAATAGCAGAAATTGGCTCTGAACTAAGCTTTCAGGGTGATGAGATATATTTCACAGTAATTTTGTGTGGTGTACAAACAGCAATAGCACTATAGGGATAACTTTACCGCTGTCAAATCAGGTCAAGTAAACAAAATTGGTGTAAACTCTTCTCTTAGTTAGCTGGGAAGCAGATTGTTTTAAAATTTAGAAATAACACTTTGATACCTTTTTAGCATCATATATTATAACAACAGTTTTACTAATCTGATTAAAATTATGTCAGCATCTCAGGTATGGAGTTCATTTTTTTCAGGAATTTATAATTTCATCATTGTAAAAACTTGGCATAGTAAGCCTCAGAAAGAAGCACATTTTAGTCTTATTGCCATTCATATCATTGTTCTTTAAGATAATTATATATAAAGAATTTAGAATAGTTTTTCTGTAAAGAAAGGAAGCACTTTAGATAAAAATCCTATGATACTGTGAGGACTTTAATGCATGCATACCTTGCTTTTTGGAATTGACAACTGGATTAGTCAGGGTTCTCCAGAGAGACAGAATCAATAGAATATGTTATAATTACATGAGAGGGATTTATTAGAGGAATTAACTCACGTGGCTATGAAGAAAAGTCCCACGATAGGCGGTCTATAAACTGGATGCTGGTAGCGTGGCTCAGTCCAAGTTCGAAGGCCTCAGAAGCAGGGAAGCTTGATGGTGTCCTTGGTTTAATTTCTGGAACCCCAAAGCTGAAGAGTCTCGAGCTCTGATGTCCACAGACAGGAAAAAAAAGTGTATCCCAGCTCCAGCAGATCGAGAGAGCTTCACCTCTTTCCTCTGTCTTTTGTTCTCTCCAGGCCCCCAGCAGATTGGATGGTTCCCACCCACACAAAGAGTGGGTTTTTCCCATCCAGGCCACTCAGACTCTCATACTAATCTCTGCTGGAAACACCCTCATGGACACACCTGAAAAGATAGATTTACCAGGTTTCTCAGCATTCCTTCATCTAACCAAGTTGACATCTAGAATTAACCTTCACAACAACCAAATGGTATAAAGTCCTACTCTTAGAAAAAAAAAAAATTTTTTTTTTTTTGACCGGTAAGGGGATCGCAACCCTCGACATGGTGTGGTCTGCACCACGCTCAACCGGTGAGTGCACTGGCCATCCCTATACAGGACCTGAACCTGCGGCCTTGGTGCTACCAGCACCACACTCTCCCAAGTGAGCCATGGGGCCGGCCCAGAAAAATATTTTTTAAAAATTCATTATTTTTATAAAGTTAAAACAATCTATAAAGCCTTTAAAAGTTGAATTCTTTGATATTTTTCAGTGACAGATGAAGATGGGGCCAATGTAGGTAGTTGGGTATCTCCCTTTTATCAAATAATTTGTAAGGAACATATTTATTATTTCATTTAATTAAATAACTGAAAATCTTTTTAAATTACAAAATAAATCATCCTGAAATAATTTCAAGTGCTCTAACACTTCATATAGTGCCTTAAAAACATTTAGCTGTTTTTGCAGAGAGTAAGATAATAGATATTTAGACCAATTTGGAGATAGTTACATCTTAATGATTATTCATCATCTACATATAGAGTGTGGTGACAAGTGTCCATCACCATGGTCAGTTAAATTTGGAAAAAAATTGGGTGGAAAAATTGTAATGTGTTTCTGTACTTTCGAGACCTCTCAGTCTGTAGCATCCTAAGACGAATTGAGAGTCTCCAGAAAAGGACTAGAACATGCATCAATTCCCAATCTCATTTCACCATGGTACCCTTTACTGCAATGAATCTCCCAGGACTAGTCTTCTATTGAGAAAACTTTGGAAAACACCAAAGTAAACCATTTCATTCAATAAAGTAATCAAGATATTTAGTCATTCATTTATCAACTGTACACTGGTGGTATAATTATGAACACTCACAAACCTAGTGCAAGAAATTAACTTGCACTTGTCGCTTGAGAAGTTGGTCATTTCCAGAGTAATATTTGAATTCAAGTATTCAAGAGATAGCTTGATGCCAGAAAGGATGGCCATCGATAAATAATCTTAATGGTAAACATGAGTTTTATTAGATATTTGCAACACAATCATGATATGCAAAGTAATGAAAAATGCTTACGAATATGGTCAGAATGTGATCTAAGCTCTTATGAGAAGATATTAATCATTTATTGTTTTTTATATAATAAAAGTTTGTCTCTAATGAATGTCTAAAATCACCCATCAGCAGAGAAGAGATTTTCATGATAACATATGATATATCTAAAAGCTCTTGCTGGCTATCTAAAAGTATCTTTTTATATAAACAAAAAGGCCTGTTTGTGGCTGACCTACTACTTTTTTTTTTTCCTTTTTGTCTTTTTTCATGTCCAGCAACGGATCACAACCCTCAGTGTCGCGCCCGTACCGGACCGGGACCGGCAACGGGATCGCAACCCTCGGTGTTGCTCCCACACCTCGCTCAGCCAGTGAGCGGGAACCGGTCTGTATGTGGGATCCGAACCCTCGGCAGGAGCGCCATCGCGCTCCCAAGCGGCACACTGTAGCAGTGCGCCACCGGGCCGGCCCTAAGCTTTTTCTTTCTTGAGCAGAGATTTTGAGAGAAAGATGATTGAAGTATTTGCATAAGAACTCAGACAACTGAAAAGGAATCAGAAGGCATGT